CAATGGGTGCTGGTGGGAATGAAAATGACCTAAGCAGGCAAATCTTATTCTTTTGTGTCCATAAATCTAACAACTTGCTCAGCAGACATTTGTGTTTTATCTTACAAATGTATTCTGCTGGAGAGCTGTGGGCTTCCCGTAAGCCTCACACAGCCCCAAAGCACAGACAGCACTCTGTGGGAAGCTGTTGAAAGTGTCCATAAATTATCAGTAAAAAGTGTCTATAAGTTATAAATCTGCAGATTAAATAACCTTTTATTTATCTTTAATTAAATGAAGCTGTTGAGACCGAGGACACGGTGAAGACTCATGAAGCGATTGATGGTATCTTACATAGACAGCTAGTTTGGGTGTTCTGACTCACCTCCTGGAGGCTCTTGCTTCACACTGGCTATAGAGGGAAATGGGGATCCTAAATGCAGATGCTGTGGACATGGCTGAGGGGAAATGGTGTGCCAACACCACAGGATATGGCATCTCAGGAAAAACTGACGACTTTACCCATGGCGTACAACACTCTTGTCTTACAACACAGGAGGGTGGTTGCTGCCTGCAGCGAGCCCTTTGCAGCCCAGAGGGGATGCTGAGCGTGGAGGGGTTGAAGGCTCTGGCCCTGATGCAAATGTTGGGCTCTGGGGGCTCTCCACCTTCACTCTCCTTGGAGGCACCTGAATTTCAGAACGCGCTGTGCTGTCCTTCTTTGGTCTCTACCCTCCTCCACCCCAAATCTCAAAGCTCCTGGGATCAGTACTGAAAATAGAAGTCAGGAATTTAAACCACTTCAGCTGAGCTCCCCTGGCAGGTTGGGGCACTGCTGCAGAATGCACTCTTCCAAAACATTTTTCCAAGACTCTGTATCTTCACAGTCCATCATACTTTCTTGAAATTGAGCCTATTATAACCATAAAAAGCCGAGGCTGGAAGAGGTTTTGAGGTCACTGAGTGCAACTCCTGCTGTCACAAGTGTTGCTCGTCAGAATCTGCATGTTTACAGTTATTTCTCCTACAGGAGCTGCCTTTGCTTTGAGGTTTTCCCGTGCTATTCTCACCAAACACAAGTTGTATCACTTCCATTTTTTAAAGTCCTGTCAGTAAGGCTCAGTTAAGAGGTCCCAAAAAGCAAAGGCTTCTTATTTATTTTGCCTTTTGGTTGGTTATTTGTGTTGAGTGGTCCCTTTCTTATTTTAACTGCAGGATAGGGTGCTTGAAAACAAACAGAGCTGCTTGTAATTCTTGTATCTAATAGCGTTATGAAGAATAACAATATTTATTTAAGAGCATGAGCAGGTGTCTGAGACTTCTGCAGAATGCTCTTTGCTCTCCAAAGGAATTTGAGTGCGTAAGAGGAGTGCAGGAGTGCAGAAATTCAGTGCGCTATTGATCCAAGTGGGATCATAGGACTGCTGTGCTTTTTTAGGTAGCGCAAAGCCCCTGGTTGGCCCATGGCACAGTAAAGGATTTCTCTCTAAGTGACTGTGATATTTTCTCCCTCTGGAAATTGCTGAAGAAAATAAAATGAAACAAAACCAGAAGTGAAGTGAATGCAAAACTCCCAAGTCTCTCAATAAGCACTTGCATAGCCTTAATAATGAATTTGTGTCAGATAAACCATGACCCAATTTTTAGATCTGAGCTTTGAGGAGTTTGCATTCAGGCCAATTTCACAGGAGGTGAAGTCTAATTGCAATCCTGGATTCAAAGTCTTCACAGCCTCGGTGAAGTTTAGATCCAACTCTGTAATCTCTGATATTAAACTTGATCTGATTTTGGTTTGCTGCCCCCAGGAGAGCTTGGATGGAAGTATATTGCATTGACTTGACTTCTATTTAAGTCCCAATTAAAATTTTCTATAGCAATTAAAAACAGCGAGAATTAAGCCAATAATACACATCTTTTTCTATCAACCGAGATTATGAATAACGGCATACATATATTAATTCCCATAGATGCTTCTTAGCCAAGCAGAAGACAGTTTAAGAGCGCAACTTTTTCTGTGTCTGAGAAGGGCCAAGAAACCTCAACAGAGCAGGCTTGCTTGTGAGATTGCTGATGCTTCCTGTTTCTGGTCAAGTTAGCAACAGAGCATACGCACAGAAAGCCACACGTTTGCCACATCTGAGGGCAAGGGGAGGAATTTTCAAAATTTCTCCGTGACTTCAGTGCTGTCAGTAGTGCCCCCTTTCTCATGGACTGGGCTCTGTGGTGGGGAACCAGAGCAGGGTCTGTAGGTCTGAGGTGCTCCTCAGAAGAGTGAGGACCCTCCTGCAGAAAAGCTTGTCTGCTGCAGGCGGTGAAGCTGAGACCATGGGAACGGGTTGCTCCCCACAGTGCATTGCTGTTGCTGTTGCTGAAAGGACATGGCATTGTGCGAAGGGTCAGCCTGGACTTTGTTTTTAGTACAGGATTGTTGTCAAAATGGCCCGCTTCAAGAAACCAGGCAATAAGAGAAGGAAAAAGGATGAAAGAGTGAAGTGACTTGGAGTCTGCCGGAAAGCGTGGAGGCTGCTGCTTGGCTCAGGGCCTTGTTTCAGTGAAAGCTATTTAACATTTTTATAACTGATGGCAAAATTGCACACTATTAATGGGCTCTCTTTATGGCTATAATTTATTCTTATTTCTCAGAGGCAACAGAGTAGAGGCCAGATTGCTTTATCCTGTGATATTAAAAAGCCTGGGGCTGAGAAGCTTAGCACTGCTTTGTCGGGATTTTCTCCATCTGGCAAAACAATAGAATAAAATCATTCTATGCAGAGAGCTGCTTTATTTTTTTAAAGAATGGTCTTTCTCTTTCAATTCAAAGCCTTCAGGGAAAGTCAGGGGGAGGGGAATATGTGTGAGTAAATGCATATTTTCATTCATTAGCTGCCTTTTCTATATTCAGGAGCTATGATTCCTGACTACCAGACTTGCTTAAACTTCTCTGGGCATTAGTCATGTGTATAGAGGTGGAGGCAGATAGAGGTTAAAAACCCTATTCATAGAATCATAGAATCATAGAATCATTAAAGGTTGGAAGAGACCTCCAAGATCATCGAGTCCAACCATCAACCCAACAACACCATGCCCACTAAACCATGTCCCTAAGCGCCTCATCTCCCCGCCTTTTAAATACTTCCAGGGATGGTGACTCAACCACTTCCCTGGGCAGCCTGTTCCAATGTTTAACTACTCTTTCAGTAAAGAAATTATTCAGAGACATGAAAGATTTATAGGAGATCCCGGTGGAGGTTACAATGTCACAGTCAGGGTAAGCTGATTCTTATAAAAATAAATTTATTTTCTTTAAGGGGAAAAGAAAAAAAGAAACCCTGCATTTAGTTTTCTTTTTTCTTTTTTTTTTTCCCCAAACATTAATAGCAAAAGGATTTTTTGTTTTCATCAATGTTTATCAAAACAGAAAGTCGGTATCTCTAGCAATGAATCACATCAATTGCTCATGACCCTTTGAAAGTTTCTTGTGTATTTTGGAGTCACCTGGTCAATAGGATGAAACCTTACCAGTATGTACAATGAGTTTCTGGTGACACAACACAAATAGCAAATTGCTACTGTTAGGAGTATTTCAAGTGTGCTCATACAAACTAAGCTACATCAGTTGACAACATCAACTAAGCCTGAAAAATAAAACATTTACTGAGTTTCTGAAGCCAGAAATTAAATCTATGACTAAATGTTTTGATGTGAACAGTTCACTAAGCTCTAGTCATGTAAAGGAAAGAAGATACAGGTACGCAAGGGGAAAAAGTTGAATACCAATGAAAATAGACCTTAGTAGGATCTCAGGGGTGAAGGAAAAAGAGGAAAGAGCGAACTGGTACCAGCTTTTGTAACTTTTTGGTCCCTTCCCTCCCCACACTGTAAGAATTACATTTCAAGTAAATGCCTGTGTTACTGTAATTCATAGAATAAGAGGGCCTGAGATTACTCTTTTATCCTTCATTGTCTAAGCTATCTGCTAAGCCAAAGAAGCTCAGACAACATCTATCCTCTGGACTGGCCAAAAACCACAGCTCTCAGCTCAGGGCCAGGTCTGAAATTGTCTTTGGGAAAGTCTGGACCTCAGATCTAAATCTTGGACTTTCAGAAAGTGCAGGCGTTAGATGTGTATTTACATACCAGTGTGGTCTGGTGTCACGCAGGGTACTGTCAGGCAGGACAGGATTCGAAGAAAATGTACTGTTATGTGTCTAGATTTGCAACTAGATTACTGTTTTAATATTTGTTATGAAAAGTTCTAGAAACCCCAAGTCAGAACAGAGGCTGAGCACTGTGCATATACAAAGTCTCTGCCCCAGAGAGCTTAACATTTAAATAGAAAAGATGGATAAATAGTGAAAAGGAAGACACTTGGAAGTAAATTGCATAAAGTCCATAGCAGAATGCAGCACAGAAATATTCTGTAAGTCCCAAATCTCCTATGTCCTGTCCCGGAATTTTAGCTACCAGCCTGAGAGTCAATAATTTCATCATTTTTTATTTCATATGATCTATCAATAAACCTACTCCAGAGCTGTGGTTGCATGCTCCAGTTGTAAAGGAAGTCGTAATTAAAAGCTTTGACTGTTAGTTTTTTGGAAAGATCACGTCAAAATACTACTCCATAAAATTCAGTGAAAAAGATTTCCCCATCTCCTGAACATAGGCACCTTGCCAGCGGTCCGTTAGCTAAAAAGTCTAGATATTGCTTATTCTTCCCACAATCTAGTTACATTTTAATCTGTGTTTACCTAGTATTGTTTTGATGAACTGTTGGCAAATCTGTGGGTTGTATGCTGGATAGTCCAACAACAATCCTACCCTGAGCCAAACCAGAGCAATCTGTCAGGTGTGGGTCTTGCAGTGTTTTAGGTTTTGTTCGGGGACACTCACACAAACTTCCTTGTTGACCCTAGCGATGAGGTAAGATAGGAAATTTAAAACAAGGTGTTGCCTAGTAAAAGCAGGCTACTGTTGTTCAGAGAAAAGTAAGTCTGGGCAGCAGTGGAAAGTCAGAGAGCTGCTCACATTTCATCGCTGTACCTCAAGACCCCAAGAACATTTTCATTGGGAAGAGAAATTTCATTCAAGAATTTAGGATGATTAAGTGTTACTGATATTCGGTCCTTCACATCCAGGTACGTCAAATGGAGCAGGAACAAGGTCTTAAAAGTCTTTTCTTGGCACGTTTCTGACGCGCACCATGTGGATAATGTTTGCCTGTTGACTTTGTCATTCACAAGGAACTCTATCTTGAGGTCGGTGGGACTGTTTGAACAGTTGGGAAAGTGAAAGTTCAAGTGGCAATAGATCAAGTAGAGGCCTTGTTTCTGTATCACCAGCTCTTCGCTCTTGCACTGAATGTCTTCACAAATACCCTTCTCGACCAAGCTCAGTTTTGAACTGTTTACTGGATTGGACACTAGAAAGGAAAGCAAACACATTTTAAAATGAGCTGCTGAGCTCTAGTGACCTGAATTCAGCCTTATGTGACTTGCAGCAGTGTATCTCCTGGTAAATGGAGATACCTGTGCAGTGGTTTTCCTGCAGGAAGCTCCAAGAAAAGGCCCTGGCCAGGTGGCTGGAAGTTCACCCATGGAAATGGGGTGTTAAAAAGTTCCAAGGACTTACACAGCCTTTGGGAAACCCAAGACAGGGAGATGCAGTGAAAATGGCCTTCTGCAATATTTAAAGGGAAATAATGGAGATGATTCATGTGTTTGTGTGCAGAAGGTCCATTTATTTTTTTCTTATCAAGTTAAAAAAAAAAGTTTGTGTGATCAGATAGGGGGTTGAGCAAACACACCCACATTTCAGGTAAAGCTAAGGATATCTTTCCTATGAAGTGCCCACTAAAACCGGTTTGGTTAACATGAACAGCCTGCTCTTCAGCCAGCTCTGCAATCTCTCTTTGCCAACTCTTGCCCTCGACTGGGCTCCCCACTGACCTCTCATGTATGCAGCGGCTCTCTTGGTCGGGACATTCTGTAGGATTCTTAAATAGTCTTCGGAGGTGTTCCCTGAAGGAAACAACAGATTAAGTGACCACTCCTGATTTTTTTTTTTTACTGTAAAATGCTGTCAGCATTTGGCACCTCATTTATTTGCTATAACTGCATTATGGACAAACTCCACAGCAGCAGCTCCAAAGCGACAAGCAGCATGTAGGAGAGATTAATCTTACTCCTTGGCTGATAATATCTGATCTGCACAGGGAACTCATAGCATTGTAACTCGATTAGTAAATTTATAACAGTCTAAAGCTCTGGTAGATTATAGCCATCAGTCCAAAAAACTGTACCATTCTCCTTCTTACAAACAGAAATTAAGTGCAGGTAAGCTTAATTTAATCAAATTATTTGTAAGGTGCAATGGCAGAAAGCAGCTTTTAAACATTTAGCTGGAACATACTTCTGAAAATGGCTCTTTAGGTGCTTTTGAAACGTTGCTCTGTTCTCTCACGGCTAAAATGTGGCTGTGGCCAGGACTTGGGGGGAGGGTGTTGGTTGTTCAGACCCGAAAGCTGCCAGCTAGAGGAGCCGCGACAGCGTTGCTCCTGCGTGCGCTCCTTCCTACATAGCCGTAACGGCAGGGCAGGGGCACGCACCCCGCCA